ATAGCATACATTTTCCAACTTTTCAAATTTTTCACCTTTTGAGGAAAATAAATTCTTGATGGTTTGGTCAGTAAATATTTTCCAGGTTTTTATTTCTTTTTGCAATTGGAAAAAATTCTAGACACAATGATAAAAAAATTTATCACTTTTATTGACAATTTCCATGCAAAACAAAGTCAAACGAATGGTATTCGGTATGGTAATTTTTTTTAATTTTTGACAATTGGAATAAATTCTAAACCCAATAGTAAAAAAATTTATCACTTTATTGTACAATTTTCATGAAAAATGAAGCCAAACGGATACCAAACTTTCAACATTTTTCAGGTGGAAAATTATACCAATCAAACACAATTAATTACAATTCCCAGTAAAATAAATTCAAGTTAATTCAATTTCCTGTAATTCATTTTCTTTCCACCCAAATTCCACATTTGCAATTAAACGGTCCCTAAGTGATTTGTTCTACTGCCTTTGGCCTTGGTAAAAACAGGTATAATGCATGTATCAATTGCGTCCATAGCTGTTTTCTGTCTGATTGGAGATTCTACAGTGTAATATGTGAATTTTTAGTGTGCAAATGCATTAGTTATGTCCAGCATATCTTGTGACTCAAAAGTTAAATAACAGTTTAAAAGAAATGTGTAGTGCACCATTTATCACATTAATAATACGAGAAATCCTTCTGCACTGTTTGCATTTGGGGTCAGTTTCAGGAATCCTTTTTTGCCACTCCTTGGGTCCACTGCAACTACATCCTTAACACCCACAATAGACCTCATTTATTGGCCTGCACTTCCCTCTTCTAAATAGAGATAGCATATAGTATGAATTCATTCAAGTGGAGTAATAATTTCCTTCTCGCAAAGTTTCTCTTGCGACTCTTCTTATTTCTTCAAATGGCCTATCTTTATGCAGGAAATATTTAGGTGGACAAAAATTGAAATTCATGACAATAAATTGTAAGAATGACGTACAACTAAACACCTGCTTCCTTTTGTCCCATATTTTTCATTAAAATTCATCTGTACATATATATATAAACTACTGTGATTTTTTTTTTCTGTGTCCTTTTCTTTATGCCAATCTCACCAACTTAATTTTGTTAAAAAGTAAACTTTAGTCATACCTTATATCTCTGTTCTCTTATCATATTTTATTATTACGACATTACTGTATGCTGTTTTTCAATATAATGATTTGTGTTACATCTTTAGCAGGAATGGGGAAGTGCACCCGCTTTTGTTCACTCACCACACATCCACATATCAAGCTTCTTTGTGCAAAATGATGGAATATTGGTAAGAAGCAATACTTTATATTGCACCTGCACCTTTAGCTTTGGGTTTTGCAAAGATTTACTATTATGTTGAATTGCAGCTTAAGTCCTGTCATCAATGCTCTTCAAGATCGTGTAAGAGAAAATGAAATTCAGGTAATGTTCATTTTAACATAATTTATGTACTTCATATACCTTGTAGCCTTTACTTTTCCCATTATTTCACTCGAAAGAATGATCAACAAAGGACACAAGAACAATGAAAATGATTACATTCTTCACTTTTTTTGTGCTAAACAGTTTTTTAGAAATGTTTAAAATATTTCTGGAAGACATAGACTTAAATGAAATTTCGTTATGTTTGAAGGAGATAATGAAACGAGAGAGAATTTTGTAAAATGATACAGAAGTTTTCGCATCCTAGTTACTGACAGACGGATTAATCTTATGAAATCCTTGCACGATTTTCTGAAATATATAGGGATCTGAAACATTTCTTTTATTCTCTTATTAAATTTGATATTGTCAGTCCATTTCTCGTGTTATTTAATCCTTGCACGCATATTTTGTTCCATCGGTTTTGCTCCTAGTTATCTAGCTTGATGTACCAATCTAAATTGTGCTTTTACTGAAACAGTTAGAAATGCTTGCTGAAGAAGCTAAGGTTTTGGAGGAAAAGATTGATAGAGGAAGTAAATCTGATTCTCCCTCCTCTTCGTCTCAGAGGCTTCAAGATCCAAGGTTAAAAGTTTATTCAAGACGCAAGCGAAATTGAAGGAATTTTATATGTTGACTCAAGTCAGGTTTATTTTCTCAAATTAGATTGGGTCGAACGCGTATGAAGAAAAAGACGTGTTTTTGTTTGAATTACAACATTATGAGTGATTGCATGACGACTTTCTATCTCCTTTCTATTACAAATTTAGTGAATATTCGATTGATTGTCACGTTCACACATCACTTTGAGGTAGCTCTTCGTTGGTCACTGGGTGGGGTGGGGGTGGTGGAGGTGCAATAATGTACTTGAACCCCTTGGAGTTGTACAAGGTAATCAGGCCCATACTTCTTTCTATGCTGGTCGTGTCGAAGGGTCTGTGGCCTTAGTCCTATTAGTGGAAAGGACATTGAAATTGTGCTTGTTTATGCTACTTTGTCCTCCCTCCTCGCTACCTAATTAATAGTGAAAAATACATGTCTACTTTTAGTTGCTTGAACTTTCACAATGAAAATGACGGAAGATTTGGGGCTTCCAAGAGATGGTTATTGACACTGATTGTTTGCTTTTAAGAGGAGACATTGGCTTGTGAATTAGTGAGAAGAATGAGAATTATCGAGTTTTTATACTTCTTGTTGAGGTGCTTTTTATATGCTTAGGCTGATGAACATGAACATCAACTAATAAACTCAATTTTATTTCTGGAAATTATTTAAAATAATCAACAATTATGGCCCCCTGTGTGCTAATGCACCTAGGCCTCATGGGACAATGCAGTGAAAACAAATCAAGCAGAGTATCAAGAAAAGCACTTCCGTTCAAATCCTGGTGTTGGGATTGCTTGGGTGGTTGCTGCTCGGGTAGTTTCCGGTACCTAGGCTGGTGTCAGTGGTGGTGCCAGGGCAGCCTGAGGCGGTGTTGGTATTAGTGGTGGCATTATTGTCTGATCCTAGGCTGGTGTCAGTGGTGCTGCCAGGGCAGCCTGAGGCGGTGTTGGTATTAGTGGTGGCATTATTGGCTGATCCTACAGTATTCTTCACGACGTCAGCCGCCCCTTGTGCCACGTTTGCTGCACCTAGTGCTGCTCCCCGGGCAATGCTCACTACCGCCCCCTTCCCAATATCTGCTGCTCCTTGTGCCATGTTCTTAACTTGTGTTCCAGTCTTCATTATTTCAAAAAAGCCAGATAATTATATTATTGTAAAACATGTTTGGCTTTGCTTAAAAGACAAAAAAAAAGTGCTTTTTCCCATCTTTTATGGATAGTCTGACCTTTCATACTGTTGAAAATAACCGAAAAAAGACGTGAAGTTCTTCTTTCCGTCTTTTAAGTAAAGCCAAACATGCCCAAAAAATAAATATTAATCTTGTTGGTGAAATGAAAAAAATCCAAGATTACCTCTTGGAGGAAGTTAGTTGAGTGATCTTGGTTTTGGGAGTCGGATTGTTGGTTTAGCATGTCATTCTTCCACGCCTGTAATTAGTTAGGCAGATGATAATTAATCAAACAAGTTAATTAAAGAATCGTTAGAAAAACTAAAGGGATGAAAACAAGAAATTATCTATTGATGAGACAGCTTAATCTAATGCAATTATGCAAGATGAGACATGATGCCCCGTTTCTACGTCAGAATGGATAATACTCGATATAGTCAAGGAATAAAAATGTGCTGTCTGATAAACAGGATATAAAAAAATTACCTGGGGTTGTCCAGCATTGCTAGGATTGTTGGGACCTTGGCTGGCCATTTTCTTGATTTGTTTTTAGTATCTTTTACTGAATCAGATAGAAACACAATGAAAGGTTTGACATGGCAGCCAGGCATATTTATAGATTTCTCAACGTTCAGATTTTCTCTTAAATATGCGCCTAAGTATTTGCATCAATCAACACGTGGCGTGAGGTGGATGATGAGTGACTCGGTCCCTGTCCAAAACTCTTGGTTAAGAATGCTTCAAAGAGTTTGCTCCAGACATCGCTGGTTGGTTGTTTTAACTGAACATATGCTTTACAGAAATCTAAAGCTTAAATTTCTTGCAAGGAATAAAACCGATTGTAGGCAAAGTTCACCATTCAGGCAACATGGATTAAGACATTTTACGACGTTTTTTGCACAACTTTTCAAGAATTGTGAAATATCGAGCATTTAAATGTTACCGTAAATTTACTCCACCACTAGAACTAGACTAGTTATTAAGCTCTTCTGCTATTAGAAAAAGGGAAAAACAATTGAGTCCATGTACCGTGCTTGAGCCACGTTAAAATTTTTATTTTTATTTTTCTACTTAATTTCAACCACACATCTTTCAATAAAATAATATTTTTCATCACATCAATAATTTTTCCTTCTTTTTCAACCACACATTCTCCATCAATATACTATTTCAAAATATATTCTTCTAAAATAATGTGGCTCAAACACACTCTCATCATTCAGATCTTTGAACTGCAGAAATCCTAAGGTACAGTTATAGCCTACAAGTTCAAAAAATACCCCACAGGCCACAGATTATGAACGCGTGAAATGGCAACTATTACGGATTCTGGTAGTATATCAGGCATTTTCTTTACTTTTTTTTCGAACTTTTGGGTTTTTACACTAGTGATTAGGGTCATCTCATATGAAAAATTGAAAAAGACGAGCAAGTCCGGTAGAACGAATATGTTTCTCCATTTATAAATAAGAACGAATTTAAGAACTAGAATGTATGAAGATCCATGTGTTTGCGAATAGGCAAGAGTGATTACAAAGAACTGAAGATAGCCATCAATTATTTTGGTATGCGGAAAAAAATAAGGCTAAAAGTCTGTATATCGAATGGATAACAGCCTGTGTTTAAAATCCCAAATACCATCGAGAAAGGTTAACAGATACTGCTGTTGCCATAGCAACCATAAAACAACAGATCGAACGAAGGCAAGCCAAAAATCAAAACTTTTGAGTCCCGGAGCTGCAGAATATACTGTGTAATCTCTCGTCATGTGCCCAGGTTTTATTTTGGCAGGTAAATTGCCAATTATAATCAGTGATGATGATCCTCATCTTCACCATGTCCATCAGGGGGTCCACCCGGGCCAACTACTTCCAACTGCAAACAAATAAAACTTGAACAGCATTTTGAGTACTAGAACAGAGGCATTTTCAATGAAAAAAAAAGAAAAAAAAATTTATTAAAAGGGACTCGTGAATCTAGTCTGGAGAACATCTAATTGATGCAAACTAACATTTTTTTTAAACATAATAACGAGTTACATCAACCAAATATCACTAAAAATGCAAAATTTAACCAGACACGATGCTGTAAAAATAGAGCAAATTAGGCTAACATCACAAAATTGAATGATAGGCACCTTCCAATTGATGCTCATGTAAAACAAGGTAAAAATTGAATTTAATGCATACAAAAGTTCTTCTCAATCCACATACAGAATTACCATGCCAGGGTCATAGTCAAACTATGAGTAACTAATCAAAGGCAATCCTGTACTTACCACAAAGTACTGTGAACATACTGGGCATTCATGTGGCTTGCCCTTCTCTAGCCAAAACCAAACAACGTCGTGTTCATCCTCTATTAAATTTTCGAGGAGAGAAAGTTGATCAAAAACCAAATAAAGTGTGGCTAAATGAACTATCAAGTACAAATATCACTGAATTAATAGAAAAGCATATAGATAACTGAAACCTACCGCCTTCAGCTCCAGGGCATCCCACGATTCTTTTATCATAGAAAGACTTGATCACAGAAGGTGTTCCCTAAAATCAAACAAAATGTTGTAATAGATCAAATCTGAAGCATCAAAGAATGAGATAAGAAGCGACGAAGTGAAGTAGTGGAAATGTGTAAAGAAAAACAATAAAAGATTTCAGTATATGGATGCAGTTTCAGAGAAGACCAGGATGACGATGATGATTTAATATTATAAACTGTAAAGATAGAGATTAACGTCAAAGACAGAGGGCATTTACATCTTCACGAGAATGGAGACTCCTTTTTTTATTTAAAAGGTTTACTATTTTATTGCCTGATCATATCATGTTGTTGCTTGAGGGAGGAGATATAAACGCTTCAAAGTTGACAAGCAGTGAATAGAAAATTACGGAAGGCAATAGCATGACTATTTAAGTTGATTGACTAGCCTCAAACAAAAATTTTAATCACTGAGGACAGCAATTAAATTCAGTTTATTTCTCAAAAGAAAGGGATGCCTGGGGAAACAGAATGTTCTTGCTACTTCAGCATCGTGTGCAAATCTAACACAAAAGTAACATTTGAATCTTTGAGAAAATCAAGACAACAAAAAGGGCAAAAGAATTCAGAAACCAAATAAATTATAGAGAATCTATAAAGCACAAATTAAGAATTTATTGATAATCACAGTTTTTAACATTCGTGCCAACTCTTTTGAATTTATAATCTAAAATAGTCTAAAACAATGAATAAGGTAGCAGACCGAGACCATTTTTCTTGTGGAGTCAAAAATGAGAATTAAAAAAAAAAAAAAACTCAAAGAGGAAAACTTAAAAAAAAAATTTGTGGGGTCATTTGACCCCACATGACCCCATGTGGGTCCGCCCCTGATACTATACTCTTTATAGTTCTAAATATCCCTTACCATAAATCCTAACCAATGGACCCATCATTTTTTTGATTGAACTTCGAGTGGACTTCCATTTTACCATGTGGCATATGAGCTTATAAGAATCAAATAATGTGATCATAGTAAATCCAAAGACCAATCAGTAGACAACAGACCATCTGAGGAAGTAATTGATCAACACAAACTTTCTTAATAAACAAAAGATTGCACACTAACCTTTGTTCCAAAGGGTCCAGAGGGATAGTTAATTTCCAGAATGTTTTTTCCCTAATCCAAATAATAAAATAATCAGAACAATATTAATAAACTAAATATTTTACTTTAATATGAAGCAGAACCTCCACAAACATAAATGAATAATATAAAAATTCTCACTTCGAGTTCAGCTTGGAGCTCTTCACGCTCATGACCAGTTGCAATCGGCATTATATTCTCCACTCTTTTCAGTGAAGTCGCATTCCCTATTCAACACATCGCATTCCCCAAAATTAAATCCACACAATTCACCTAAATTAAACTTACATCGAACTGTGTATTTTTAATGAAAAGATGAACGTGTAAAATGAAATTAAGGAAAGAAAATAGGGTCAAGCGAAGTACCAGATGCAGTACTGATTTGGCGATCATTGGGGAGCGAGCCATTGAACGGTGCCGGAGCAAGGGATGAAACATTTCGAGTGTGAAATCGATTGGGCTTGGGCGTGGAACGGATAGGACCAAGAGTTCGGAGGTGGACAGAGAGCCTTCTCCACATGTTTTTCCTCTGCAATTCCGATTAGGGTTTGGATTGTGATCTCAGGTAGCCCCTGGTTCTTTGAGAAATGATATGGAAGAGGAATGAGAATATATTTAGCACTTTAATTTGAGAGAAAAATGAAAATCTACTTAGTGTTCCCATAAAAGGCACCTCATTTCCTATAATTAAGCCCCCTATAAGGTTTGAATTAAAATATTAAAATCCTTCAAAACCAATAATTAATCTTAATTATACATGAAATTCATAACTTTTATCAATTTTTCAAATACATATTTATTGTCCAAATCAACAGAATCTCGATCACCTCTTCTCTACATAAGCATCACTTGTGCACTTAAACGTCCATCGACTCAGAAAAAGGTTCGACAATTGTTTTCATTTCGACGATCAAATAAACAACCAGACGAGATACAGAATAAATGCAAGAGACGGAGCTTATAATAATCTTCATGCATTGGTTGTGAATAAACTAGACGAACATAGAGGAGAATGGGCCAAGTGCGTTAGTGGATTGGATCTAACCCTAGGCCCAAAAAGTCACCTTATATTAGTTTCCTTTAAAAATTATTCTAACTAGGTAAAACACTTTAAAAAATTATTCAAATAACTTTGAAAATAATTTCTTAATCACCTTTCAAAAGTCTTGTCAAACAAATTCTAATCATATATTTATAGTTTATCTTAATTCCAATTGTTTCCATTAAAAATTTATGCATGCAGCATGCTAAACACTAGTTCATTACGTCCCTAGTGTTCAATAACCCATGTCGTGCATGAGGCTAAATTACTTTGCAATGAAGAACTTCCAATTAGAGAAAATAAAGTCCGAAGAAATCAATGCTTTGCAGCATAGAAGTATCACTCTTTTCCTTTTTTGGGTTCCACAAGATTTTGTTAGGAATAGGAAAAACGAGTCTCAAAATGAATGTGCCCTCTACATAATTGGCCACGACGTGGATCTTACTTGAGTATTGTTTCTGAGTTGGATGATGAGTATGTACAAGTATTAATTCAAATGTCACATCATACCGTGATCATCTTTAGTTGAGATAAATAGTATTATACATTGTAATAAGGGGAAATAGGATGGGGTGGCAAGATTGACCTTAGAAAGTGTTCACGTGAGCGATACGTGCTTATTTGACTGTTCAAGTAAGGTCTTCCATGCATCAAAATTGAAAATTTGAAGTTCTAATCACCTCACAAATTTGATTAGGACCCAGGGGCGGAGCCAACTTGTTGAAATATGAGGGTCCCGAAGTTGAAGAAGTGGGGGCTCACGGGCTGCCCTCGAAATTTTTTTTTGAAACATTATGTGTTAAAATGAGGAAAGTTGATACTTCGTGATAGAGAAAGGAAACAACGGAACATAAATTAATGTACGGAGATTTAACAAAAAAATCAAGAAACGTATAAAAGAAAGTACTAATCTTTAATTTAGCAAAATCATACCTTATTACAAGTGTTCATTTCCAGTTCTCATACTTTGAGAAATTAATGCCAATGTCAAAAGCTTGTATAATAACGGGTATACTTCATTTTTTTT